AGAAGGCTCGTAAGCTGTGGTGTGATACTGTGCCAACGATATTAAACTACGTCCATCCACTCCTCACCCAAATCGGATCAATCAATTTGATTATGCAGCGAAACCGAAACCGACAGCTAAGCCATCTGGAAACGATACCAGAAGTTGTATTTAGCACGCGTGCAGCCCGATTCTGTTTGACCCGCGTGTGAAAATGGAGCGTGACTACGATTCATCAAGCTCGTCAAAGTCAAGTGATGACATGCATTTGAACGATTCGCCGTTTGTCTTCGACGCCGCGGACATCACCTCTGAGGGAACGACCCGCAGCCTCATCACCGATCCCGTGGATCCGCTGACATGTGTACCCAGATGCCGCTTCGTGTACTTAGGTGCCGCTTCAAAGGCGAAATCTGCATCTTTTGCTTTGCAAGCGCCCCTAGTTCGACCGGTGGCCGTCGCATTTGTGTTTGCTCGAAACGGCATAGGTTTGCTCGAAGCTTATGGCTGTCTGCGAGTAATTAATTTCTGCTAAAAGGGGTGACTTTTTTTGCACATGCTTGGGAACTGCATTAAAAGAACCGTATTTAGGTATGGTACAGCCTAAGAGACTATATAATTCGAAAAAAAAATACAAGACATCCATCGACCAACGCTTGTTATCCCGACCATCCGCCAAACCTTTGCGTTTTGTGACGTCACGCAGCACCTACGGATGTCTGCCATTGACACTAGCGAAATTCGGGGTGCAGTTTTGTACATAAGCTCATGAAAGGTTTAATTAATAACGGGAGATCATATATCAAAATAAAAATGACGTTTGTCTACATGAAGGCTCCCTCGACGTAACGAGCGCAAGAACTTAAGTACTTCCGGTTTCGACCGGACAATCCCTTTAAGAAGCGAGCTGCGTTTTACTTGCGTCCCAAATTAAAAGCGAAATTTATGCGCCAAATGTCAATAAAAATGTAATTCCTGAAACCACATGCTAATGGAGCTTATTTAAAGTTGTGGGTCGCCTATCAATACCGCCCGATCAGGCCGAGTTCCACTCGTTCCCAGGAGGTGACACGGGGAGCGCCATCATGGAGACATACCTTATCGATACTCAATTGTGTGAGTCGGGTGCTGCGGAGAGCAAAGGCTGCCTTGTGGTCCGGGTTTTCCCTGGGCTCGCTGGGCATCGTCTCTTCCGTTCGTCACTGCCCTTTGAACTGTCTGTGTTCCCGTCCTGCCACGAGCGTCATTTCTCTTCTTCGCTCACGGCGCCGTCCCTCCACGTGTATCGCGGCTCATGGTCCCCCACAAAGTTCTCCTTTCCCTAGACAGCCATTAAGATACGCAGCATAAAACGGGTTAACATTTCGTGTGTTTTTTTTTTCGTTTTTTTTTTGTGGGGGGCGGGGGGGGGGGGGGGGGGCGTCGTAGACGATTGCAGAAGTGAATTTATATTCAATTATGCACTGCAAGTTTCTAATTCTAATGACACCTTTAACTTTAGTAGTTAAAACGGTAATTATTCGCTACCAATTCTTGCGCAAATATTTTAAACGCGCCACCCCCTTTTACATCGGGTGGTTTAACGAAGACATTCAATTATTTCTAAAAAATAACGTAATTGAGACAGAAAAAAAATAAAAATCTCTCGGCGGGAACAAACTGTCAGCCACAGCGGACGTCAGAGATCGCAAAGAAACAGACTCATCAGCTAACTAATTACTTACAGTTTTCTAATTGACTTTTTTCAATTAGCACAGTTCGGTGGCCAGCACCGGTGGAAAGTTTGTAAATGTGGACAAAACGATGTCATGCAGAAAGCAAGTCGTCTGCTTCTTGCACAGGGTTTTTGCGATGACGTCAAAACGACGCCGAGTTCTGCTCGGCTTTGATTGGAAGGATAGTGGGTAGACCTCGATGCTAGATGCCTTGAGGTCTACCCACTATTTTTTTTCCATCAGCCAACAAGGGCTCGACGTTCTGACATCATCAAAATCCCCGTGCAAGAAGCAGACGAACTTGCGCTTCGCATATTTGTTTTTACGCGAGAGAAAACGTCATCCTCCTAAGAACTGCAGCGCGAGGAAATCACAAACTTTCCCTACGAAAATGCGCATAACGAATTTCCTGCTCTCATGCGCTGCGTTACGTATTTCTGCAAAAAACCGCGTGAGTTTTCATTTATTTGTGTTTTTTTTTCGCACTTTAGGGTTAATGGGGAGGACTTCTTCGTCTTAAATAATAAAGTATATAACCAACAAGTCTCATTTACAAAAGAAGAGTGAACATGAAAAATAAATTGCTGCAAGCTTACATATCATGAAAATGTCGCTTTAAAAAAACACGGACTCATGCAGTTACCACAGATATTGAACAATTAAACGCAAAACTCCGGAACCAATATGCTGCTGTGCATTATAGTATATTGAACAGGCCTTCACATGGAACGGTTCACATCACGATGAAAGGTAACTTGATAGGGTATTTTTAAAACTAAAGACGTAGTTTTTTTATATTAGGGTGTTTGTTAAGATGAGATAAATTGTGGCAGAAAAGAAAAAACCGAGAGGTCAACCTTGCTAATCATGCCGGTCTGCTACTCCCTATTTGGGGAAAGCAAATGCGTTGCTTGTCCAAGCCAGTTGTCAAAGTTGGTTCGGTCAAAGTCGCTTGTCCAAGCCAGTTAGTCCGGATAAACTCTACCAGTCCATTGGTAGTCTTCAGGCTTTCAGGTGCTGATTTCTATGGGCCTAATATAGGTCGCCGTAGCTATTGTTTGGTCCGCAGGAATGGCCATAAACGTTCGCATGCATTTCTTTGGGAGTTAAAAGCTTCAGTGGCACAGGAGATGTTCAAGGGAGTGAACCGATGAAGAACGGTTGGCACATAGAAGATTCCGCTTTGCCTATAAGCTGCAGATACTCGTTTGAATAGGCAACGTCGAGACGAATTCGTTGGATGAGACACTCGATTTTTCGCGGAAGTCTTCGAGAGACCTTGAATTGAAGGTGGGGTCGATGTTATGTAGGCGTCTGTAACGATTATCGGGATTGTTTCACAGCGACGACGAGAGATGTCATTTCCGAGTTGATGTACCAGCCTGTTGTTGTCTGATCGAGTGAACGGCAGCAGTGTAAATGACTGGGATTTGTGCGCAACTCGGGCAGCCATGTCTGCGTTGACGTATCTTGTTATTCCGCAATGACCTGGAATCCACTGCAGGACGATAACGTGACCTTTTTGGGTACATTTTTCGTATTGGCGTGTGTCATGAATCAATTGCGGATCTTGGCGACGTTCATTTAGCGACGATAAAGCTCGTACTGCAGTTTTGGACTCAAAGAATATAGACCAGGTGTTTGCAGGCTCGGGGAACTTAAAGACCAACTCATGTTTGCAAACAAACCGGAGCGCCCCTAGAGGACGTCACCGGCGCCGCGCATGCGCGAAGGAGTGTGGGCAAGAAGCTCGCCGTCGCCCATAAACAACCTATTGAAATGCGATGTTGTCGGCATCGGTGTGAGTTCCCGTGCTCTTTTTCGCGTTGAAATTGTTGATTTTACGTGTTCCTGGCAGTGCCTGACTACTTGAGCGGCCTCCGCGAAATTATCGAGGCTTGTTACATCGCAAAACTCTGTGTGAGAAATATGACATGCGACCAATCATTCCACGTGGACGCCGCAGAATGGACGGTGAAGCCAAAACTCGCATGATGAGATTCCGCCCTAAATTTTCAGTCGTGACGTCGTTCGGGGTGCAAAAGCGTGAACCGTAGCTGAGATGGTCGACGTTGATACTGAAAATTGCAAGTAGAATAGGACCAAGTGAATCACGAATAACATGTCGATGATGGCTACTGGTAAAAATGATCAACACCTCCTTGTATCTACTGTCTACACCGACCTGCTTACCACAACCAACCTTCAACTTAAAAGTCTTTTGAGGCCTGCACTTACTTCTTTACGCAATTACCGGGCCAACGTTTGGTCTACGGGCCGGTGACGTCTGAAAGAGCAGACGACAAGCCGGAACGTTTGAAAGAGCAGACGACAGTTCGAACGATCAGGCGGCCGTTTGACCTTGAAGACGCACTGAACGTAGTCCGCAGGTGGTCCGTACAACTTGACGGTTTTCCCGCGTTCATGTTGGAACAAAACAAATAAATCTGATGAACACCAGTATCAGTGAATTCAACCCAAAGTTCTTCCCGCCCAAGCAATCGTGGTCCGACAGCGTCTGGTTTTCCCTTTTCACTGCACATATCCACTCCTCGAACGAACCGAGCACGTGAAAACTGACATTCAAACCTTTCTCGACTCTTTTGGTACAGCCCCAGTCGCAGCGCTTTGACGAGAAGGCGCGTTTTTTTCTGGTTTCTCTCAAAACAACGCAGGCATGCATGTCCCACATGGTGACTTCCGGCCACAGCCCCAGACCGGAGGTGCGCCCGACGCGCCACCACCGCGCCGTGACGTAAAAGAGTTCAGCTAGCACTTGGAGGGCACAATTTGTTCGTATTTTTGGGCTTTATTTAAAGTTCACTTCGCAGATTATTTATGCTATATTCCCAGAGGAATTCTTGAAGTTTAAAAGGCTATGAATGTCTTCTTAAAGTTTCTTTCATGTTTATGTTTCTACGCGCCGTCAATGTTTCTGGTGACGGCGTATTGTCACGTGACCTCTGAATGCCACGTGACTTCACGGTGTCACGTGACTCCATGACATCACATGACTCACGGTGTCACCTGACGTCATTAAGCCGCAAGGAATTACTGGGCCACGTGACTTGTCACGTCATGGTGTCAGTTGACGCCAGGAAACAGGGGACGTGATGCGCGACGTGATGTCAGAGTCGTGTCGAGCGGCGTGACGTCCACGCGGAATTTTTTGGCGGAGTGCCGAAAATGAACCCGCGCCGGTATGAAGCGAGGTCAAGGGCGCGAAACCCGCGAAGTGTCCCACTAACTGTTATCGCAGTAAAAAAAAATAAATTGCACCGTCTTTTTAAAAGGCACGTTACTTACCCATGACCATTCTGAGCCCCAGGAACACGTCGTCGAAGAGGTACTGCCGGCGTTGCCCTATCGCAGCGATGCTCCTCTCGGCCACGCTCAGCGCCGTGTCAACCAGCTCCCAGTTCGGGGTCCCGACCACGAGCGCGGGTCTCGACGCAGCGACCAAGAGCGTGAGCACCGCCAGCGACGGCATGACGCGAGCGCGAAAGCCGCTGCCTTTGCTCGCTGGCGCGAGCTAGACGCGGAGCCCCGAGTTGCCCGAACGCCGTGTGAAAGAGCCCGCTCTTTAAACGGGACGCCGTTGTCGCCGATTGGTCCGCTCTTTTGTCGTTTGAGGGGAAAGGGAAAACGGAGCGCTCGAACCCAGGGCGCATGTGCGTCAGGGCCGCGGGCTCTGGGTCGGTTTTCTTTCCCTGTTTGCGCGCGCGCGCGAAGGCGATGCCAACATCTGTTGTGGTAGACCCGTACTCGCTCCCGTACCGTTCGCGTCGGTGCCTCGGCGGGTTGTGAGCGGACTTCGGTGAGTGGTGAGGGGAGTTTCGCGCGGTTCTCTTTAGTGTGTACGGTGTACGAGGTCTTTTAAAGCGGCTGGCACTCGACGTAACTGTTGCTGGATGCAGAGACAAATCTGATATACCGACGAGGAGGTGTACAGGTTTAACCAGGTGTCAGTGATTGCGTGACTTGTGCACTCGTATCTGAGGTTCTCTTTTAACTGTCGGTCGAAAGTGAAAAAAAAAAACTGAAAAAAAAAAAAGCGACTATGCCACGACGCATAGCCGGTCATCGACTATGTTTTCTTTCACCCTTTCACCCTATGGAGACACAGGAAAGGTTGTATAGCGAAGAAGTACGTAATTATTACGAAATGAAATTGTAGTTTCCACAAGATCATTCAATAGCACTATAAAGAAGCGGCGTCCTCATCGCGTTTACTGCTGCAATCCCTGACAGAAACGCAGCGGTCGGCAAGTCCCTCATATTAAGATATTAGGGACTTTCAGCAAACCGTTACCGTGTTCCGTGTCCCGTACTACTGGATCCTTTGAAGCACTCGGGGTGCGCGTTTAAAAGCATACTTCAAAGGTCCAGTAGTGGGGTATGCGCAATACGGTAACGGTTTGCTAAAAGTCCCTATTAGAGAGTTTTAGGGAACCCTTTTTTGCACATCTGATACGGTACGATTGGCCCTCCGGTTCGAACTGCGCATGTGCGGGTCTTCCGCTGTGGCGCATGCGCAATTCGTACCGGAGGGCCCATCGTACCGTATCGAATATGCAAAAAGGATTCGCTAGAACTTTCTATTATCGCTACGAAGCCAGTAGGCTTGCTGCTTTATTTAATAAGAATACCAAAGAACGATTCAGGAAGAAAGAATTGTGACGATTACAAGCCACGCCCCGCATTTCTTAAAGGCGAAATTTTGATAGTCACTGATATAGTGACTATCAAGACGTGAGTCAGTCATCAATACTCGTCTCATCGAATTATAAAAAAATTCCTCATTTCCGCACAAAAAATGCACTACAGTCTTTTGCTGATAACCTACCTATACTGCTTAACAACATTTGCGTGAACAGCACTGATATTTATTGTATAAAATAAAAAAAGAAACAGTGCGCACTTTCTTTTATTTTAAGATAAATAAAAGATTTTTACGTAAATTTTATAGGAATGTTTTCAATTGTCTTTCGTAGGAATTTGTATAAAATGTATTGAGTTGTTTTGTAAAATATTTAAAAATGTTGAAATGGGATTGCTTCTTTTTTTTTTTAACCCTGTCAGGTTATATCTTGGTAGCTTTTTGCCCGGTGTCCTCGGCACAATGTTGCTAAATGAAAAGTTCAATTCAATTCGATTCAATAGTTGCCTCAAAATCATTAACTGAAACCGATAAATATAACGGTTCGGTTGCAATTATGGTTACCGTTTTTTTTTTTTTTTTCAAAATTGTTTTTATTTTTTTTTTCCGTTTTTTGTCATTTTGGTTACCAGTGTGCCGCCCCTAAAAATGGCTTCTTTTTTTTTTCGGTTCGATGTCTTCTTTTAATAAGCCGAGTTCTTTTTGTCATTTCAGTTTTGTCGCTCATCACCTTCACGAAGGTTCCCTGTAATCATTTTAATGTTGGAAATCGTGGCTGTATTTTAGGGAGTAGAAAATGGCGCTCTGCCTGTTCAGCCTCTGAATGCTCGTGTCGTCTGTTTCTTTAGGTGTTTCTTTTAGCACGGCTTCCTTAACGTCCCTTATAAACGCTCGTCTTTCTACCGGGACCGCAATTAACGATTCTATTCGCGAGTAGACTATGTGCGTATCATGCATAATAGAAATATCTTGAAACGTTTAACGTCGTGATGCTTCATTAAATAAAGTTTACTATAACGTTCGTTCGCTGATAATAATACCACGAAAAATAATTACATCTTGAGATATGGAAGTACAAGCGTTTAAACTGAGCTTATTGAAATGAACGAGTGTCACCTGGCCGACTGGGCAACCGCATTCGCTAAAATAAACACCGTCATTCAATGAAACATCGTGGACCAGGTTTCACTCGTTAAAACGTCGTTCACTCAAATAAATGCCCCCCCCCCCCCCCTAACAATAAAAAGAAAAAAAAAATATCCGGCCTTTTTACATGGTAGTGTATTCTCTCACAAAAACTATTTCGGAAATAGAAAGGGCATATACCATGGAAGAATTGAACAACTGAGAGCAACTAAGCTTTCACTCGCCATATTGCAAGATCTGACGTGACGTCCGGTGTTTCCGAAGAGGTCACGCGGAGTCCGATGGTACGAAATGAATGCTGATGAAGCTCAGCCGTGCAAAATAAAGAAATTAACAAAATATCTTTGTTTTTCTTCATGGTGCCTGCTCGACTTGAGGGTTACGCAACGTGTAACGTCACCCGGGTTATCCCGCTGTAGAGCGCGGGAATGTTTGTACGTTTTTTTTTTTTTTGATATCGCCTTTATTTCCCCTTTTCTTAATAGCTATTTTGAATTTAGAGATAAAAGAATAGCATGCCGGGAGGAGTAAAGCCTGGGTATTCCGAAAATGTGTTTGGGTAGCTCCAAAAACCGCCGGAGCTGCCTTTTAAGCCGTCAGTGGCATACATTATCAAACAACGCACCAACCGTGCCATATGAATCCGCGGGCGCCACACTGTGGTACGTGATTACATTTATTTAGCGCTTCTCGTTGATTAGGGTCATTTTCTTTTTTTACCCAGACTACTTAAAACATACCACGGTTTCACTTTTCAGTACAATAAAGCTCGAACAACCGGTGCCACGACGGCTGTTGTTTCATCTCCGAAATAAAAACCCGTTTAGAACGAACCCACGCACAGCGAATTACTGTCGATATCGAACTCACGGAACACTTAAGTAAAAACGCATGTAAAAAGTATATTTTATAACGAACAAGATATTGGCTATATCGAACTTTTTCTCCCTGGAAGGCTTCCAAAAACGCGCAAACATTCGTCTTCTAGCCTGTTCTTCCCCTCAAAAAACAAGTAGGAAAGAAAGAAAATTCCAAAAGCTCAAGTTGCGAACAAAATTGAGCTAAGAGAAGCGATTCAGTAGGATAGAAAGCTAATAAATACATTCTGCACAGATGAGAAAAAAAAGCTTTTAGCGCGTTGTTACAAGGCGGAAGTGAAGATATATGAGAAAGAAAGAGAAGCTCTCATCTCACAACGAACTTATCGTGGAAGTTTGTTGTAAATGTTTTTTGCTATACAGTATACACCCCGTGCGGCGCGACTGGCGCGCCGCCGCGCGGCCGGTACCTAAGGTAGGCAGCGAGAACCCCAGAGAAAACGAAACCGAAACCACGCCGCGTACGTTGGTACGCATTGAAGTCGGAGTGGTGCGGTTGCGCTGAGTTCACAGCATGAAGTGCTGCCTGTGCTGCGTCACTAAGTCCTTCAATATAGTTACGCGTCGTATCTCGTGGAGACAAAGTTTCACAGTTTTTCACCTCGCCGATGTTTTGTGGGACAGCGACAACGATGGAGCCATGCCGTACGACGTGAGAAATTTGGTCTCCCGATCATGTCTGCCACTGTGTCGGCACGGCTGACATATTCTACACTGCCGCTTTGCGCTCTGCGTTTGTTTTCGTACCAGTAACGCCTACATATGTCAGCGCCGATGGGACGAACCCACACTCGCAGGAATGCATTCCCAATTTTGTTGGAGGAATGCCCTCTAAAGAAGTTTCGTCCCCATCGTACGTGTCGATGATATTTCCGGACAAGTATGGCACGCAATCTGTACTTCATGAAAAAAAATTCGAAAGGTAAAAAAAGTGACAAATATAAATCTAAAGAAAATAACAATGAAACTCGGAATCACTGGAGAATTGACGTGTGAGTATGGAAGTTTATGTGGTGTGCTTTCTTTCTTGACGAGCCTCCTTTTGGATGTGGAAACGCTGACACCCCGAGTTCTGTAGACAACATTTTTTTTCTCGGCTTTAGAGCCACCTATCGCAAAGTGGTTCGAACTGGAAGTACCGTCCACTGGTCCCTTCCTACCTGTAAAGTGTGCACCTCCCACGATGAGTGGTATTTTCTGACAGCCTTTGACGGTCAAAGCCAGTTCCCATTTAGTTACGCCGCCCAAACTAAATTTCCACCTGGTTTCGCTATGCCAACTCTTTCTGTTATAATAAGTGTTGTGCCAAGTGACGGTCATGTCAAAGTACCTGCGCGCCGAAAATCAGCACCTCGCACAACAGGTTATTACACAACAGCTGACCGCAAAAGCCCTTGGCGGCCAAACCGTGTGTTGGCCGACAACTTTGTTTTCTCGGCTTTGGAACCACCTTTCGTAAAGTTGTTTCAATTGGAAGTACAGTCCACTAGTCCCTTCCTACCTCTAAAGTCTCCACCTCCCCCGACCAGTGGTATTCTCTTGATAGCCTTTCCATGATCAAAACCGGTTCTCATTGAGTCACGCCGCCCAAACCAAATTTTCACCTGGTTTCCCTATGCCACCTTTTTTTTTGTATAATAAGTGCTGTGTCATGTTACTGTCAAGTCCAAGCACCTGTGTGCCCAAATCTGCACTTTGCACAGCCCGCTATAACACAACATTTTGGGTCCAATATTGGATATCCCGTACAGCTTTATTTCTTTATTTGTTAGAAACATAACTTTCACACCCGCTGTCTTAAAGAAACTTAGCTCTCTTCGTGCACAAACTTAGTGAACCTCTCACTCGCCTCCAAATATCATCGCT